ACTCTTGTTCTTAGTTTCTTTAACGAGGCGCTTTGCTAGGAAATCCTGGTGTTTCTTCTTGCCTTTATCCAAGAAGCCATTCAAACTTTTACTTACCTCAACTGAGGCAACCTGTCCAGTGGCAATGTTGATCAATTCTGGAAGACAAGCACAGTCAGTAGGTCAAATGGATTTTGATATTGAGAAGCAGACTCCATGATGTTGGTAACATCCTGTTCATCCCTGACAAGCCTTGCATTTCCCAAGTTCCTCATGTGGGCTTATCAGTCCTGCTTCGATCACTACACAGAGACTTAAACGCTTCCAGCGTATTCTGCAGTGATATGCCTTGTCTTTAACCATCGGGTAAGAGCACCTTTGCGTAGTGCGTCAGACCAATAACTCCTCCTTTGCTTTTGCCATCCCTGTTGATGGTTTGTTCAGGGCTTGATCTGTTGCCACACTACTGAAGATCTACTGCCTTGAAGATCTTCGTATGACAAACCCATCTCCATCCAAGTTATTGTTATTGTAGGCTGGCAGATCATTGTCTTTCAAGTTGTTCACGTCCGCTACATATGTTGGAACAAACTTGCATATGTGTGTCTACTTGCAGCCACAAACCAGGGAATAGTTTCACATAAAATATTCAGATGAATACTGAAGTTTGCTTCACGCTCTGCCCTCTGTAAGCGCAGAAGTATATCTCTCCATCCAAGAAAGTGTCCCAGTAGGAGAATGTTAGGGACATGGTTCGTCCAACCTGTCTAAACTCATCAATAGTTTTGATGAGTGTATCAAGATGTTGAAACTGAAGTTCATTTGATATCTTGATTGCTGAATCATGATCTTTTGTAGCAAATGCATCTTGCAGTTCCTTCAATTTTGGCCAAGAATGGAAGCTCTCTAAAGTGCAAGTCGTTGTTCTGAAGCCATGACTCCATTGCCACAAGCAACATACGGAATAGAGCTTCATGGCCACCAACTTCAAGCCTCGAAGTCCTCTTGCATATTCCTTTCCTGCAGCATCTTAGGGGCTGTGTTGGACTGCATAGACATCAAAGTCTGTCAATAAAGATACAGAAGGCCTCCCTTCACAATAGAGATGAAAGCCGAGGCTAGCAATAAAAGCCATTGTGGGATGCAAGCCTCCAACTCTCATGGTTACTTTTTGTACAAGGCACGAGGTTTTGCCTTACAGGATTTCCTGTGCCAGCCTTCAGAGTATGGCCATGCCAGCAGTTACAAGTATATGGCTTTGGCCTAGTTTCTCAGCCAGCTGAACTAACTGCAGTAGTACAGTGTATATTGTGGAGAGATCTGTAGTATTTTCCTGTATGCATAAAGGGAAGATATCTCACGGATGCAACAAGGTGAACTTCTCCTCTGATATAAAAAGAATTGAACCAGTCCAGGATGGGAATATGCTGAGATTGTCCTTCTTCTTTCTCCACACGAGCTTGGGCTTCCATATCATGTCCTTTGTTCTGGGCACGAGCATAGGCAGTGGAAGTCGAATAGCCTCCTCAGTATTAGAACTATCAGCCACTGGATTGGGCTGAGGACCGATTGTGCTGGTTTGGTATACCTGGAAACTGAAGTAGTTGAAAATTCATTTACAACTTAGATAATGCTAGTAATGTCTCTACGACAGTGCAGTATTATGTCTACTACTGGGCTCATCTTTGGTCCTACTTAGGAACTTGAATCCAGACTCTCACGAACCAGTACATAGTTGGTTGACAATATTACCCAAACAATGTTGTTTCTTGTTCATATCACATTGTATTTATGAAATTGACATTGCATGTAACTGATAGTTATATGATCAGATAGTGGTTACAGTATCATGTAATTTTTTTCAATGTATACAACTAAATATATTTATCTATTTTTGGTTTCTATTCTCAAAATAATTCATAACACTACCTTGCCAATGGAGCTTCATTGTCATCATGCTGGATGGACTTTTGAGTGACACGTGGAACAGGAGATTCCACTGATATTCCTGTTTCTCCCCCTCTGAAACACAACCGCAGCCGCTGGCATGGGTGGTTGATTTTCCATCAAAGGGCCTCTTCATTTTGATCAAAGTTATCCAATTGCTGCACTGATTTGAAGCTGCTGGCATCACTTTTGACAACTGGAGACCTCTTAGAGCACATACATAGTTTGATCCTGTTGTTGATCAAGGGCGACTGAGGTAAGAAATCGCCGAACTTCATCATAGGATACACAGTGACCCAGCAGTGAATGGAGTTTATCTTAAGGAGGCAGCTTACCTCCCAAATTCATGATGTACGTACACACCAATACCCAAAGTCATGTGGCCTCTTACATGCCTACCTAGATTTAGAGGATGATGTCATGACAAATTCTTTTGAAACATTTGCATCCACCACTATCTTGAAATTTGTTTGTATGAATTTTCGTTGGTAACCCACATTACAAAATCATACAGTAGAATTGGGAACAAATTTGGCACATGACAAATACATTTAGTTGAGTACATGGGTTCATAATACAAATTTGAGTCACAAATGCTTGACATCTGGTATCTCAATATCTTGGCTGCAGAATGAAGGATCTGTTCTTCATCAATCTCAGATAGTCCAGATGTTGGTGTAAGATCACAAAAGATTATTCAGCATCATCAATGAAATACTGTTCTTGCAATTCAGATGCTTTTCGTAAGAGCTGTCACCCACAGAGACTGGGTAATTGAGACCAATAAGCCTGGAACGTCCATGGCGTTCAATGAAACAAGTTTTTCCAAAAAATATTGACTTAATTCTCTCTTTCAGTTTCCATGAATACATAATCAACATGCATTCTGCAACTTAACAAATCTCTTTCAAATTCCATCCTTACTTGAGATAATGTTTTTGTACAGATTTACTCCTGGAAAGTATTGGTTTCTTGAATGTTAGGACACAAGCTGCTTAAAGGCCTTGTTTCAAATTCTGAGTCTCCCTTGTCATGGTCAAACTTTCTCCTTGCTGCTGTAATGTTTCGTTCTGAGATGTATGCAGCATAACAAAGGACGGTGCGCTACCTTTGCAATTAAGGCAAAACAAGTCAGAATAGGTTGTCATACGTAGAATAACCGTTTCATCATATCTAGCAATAGCTGAAGCCAATACCTTTTCATGTGTACCTTGCCCTGTTCCTGTGGCAATCTGTGTTAGTTTCTCACCCTTTTTCCAAATTCTTTGCTACAAATGAAGCAATGTTGCCGGATGTTAAATGATGATGTGTCATTTCTGCTAAGCGGGTGTTGTTGTATATGGATTCTTCAGACTGTGTACGTTGTCAGATATTTGAGTGTTGTCTACATGTACATGCTTCAAATTGGATTTGCTGGTATACGATGCCTCAACAAGACTTGTGAAAAGCAACTTCAATAGTCCCTGTCAAAAATATCATCTTTGAATGGCAATATAGATGATGATACACTTCATCCTGACGTACTTCAGAAGCTGTAAACAATGCTTGCAGTCCATCTACGTGTGGTTTTCTTACAATATTTGATGCCTGTTTCCTTTTTCAGCAAGCCCGGCTATAGACAGAGAATACAATGTCCTATATCACCGGTGGGACTGGCGGATTCTTTTGGCAGATGGTGCCAAAATCCATCCTTATATTGTTTTACACAATAATGAGCATCATAGTCCAACTTTACATTGATCACTGAAACTTCACTCTGTGTTCAATATCTATGTTATCTACAGACAGAGCAGTCACTAATACTCCATATTGATAGCATGCGGTAGGGGAAATCACTCTCAACAAACATTGCCAAATTTAGTAATAATGAAGCGCCCATAAAATCTTGGGTGAAGCTTTATGAATAGACAGTGTTTTTGAGAATGGTTGTTTGACCTCAAGTCACAGTTGGTAATGGTAACATACCTTCAAATGAATTAATGCCCTTTACATGTGCTATCATATGAGTAGTAAACAGGGCTTTTCTGTGTCATTCTGAAAATTATTTATGATAAATGAAAACTATCAATTATTTTTTCTGCACTAACTTATGCATTAAATAATTCATTGTGTCCATCGGTGGCTTCTAATAGAGTTAATGATTAGTACTGAAAAAATTGATGAAACATTACAGATCATTTTAAAAAAGATGAGAGTTGTACCCCATCAAATAATGTTGCAGGGGTGGTTAAGTGAACCCCCAGTCCGAAACATATTTTGCTCTTTGGTAAACTATGGAAACAGAGCATTATATATATTACATACCCATTTCCATATGACCACAACCATACTTTTCTTGAAGAATAGACATATATGTACAAGAAAATATAGGCGTTGTGTCTTGTTATACCATCGGTTGGGGTTGCTCCTATTTTATAGGCCTTTTGAAGAAGAATGGCCACTGGACTATTAACCACGAGGCTACCCCAATCCGTCGAGGAAATAATCTGGGTTGTCAATATTGTTCTTGTATACAAATAATAAAAGCTGGATGGTGACACACAATCTGTCACAACTGATGGTTTACTGTTGGCAGTCGGTCATTACAACATACAGTCTCCATCCTACACTTGTTTCGGTACTTCTTAAATGTTTTGTATATCCTGTGGGTGGAAATGACTGGAACCATCCGCTACTTCGCATTCCTATAGAATTTAACTGCGTTTTGATAATCCTACTGCATACCACTGTCAGCAACATTGTCATCCATGAATCTATTTCTGAAGTAGAAATACTTCAAGTAACACCTTTCTTTGAAATTGATATATCCTTTTCAATTTTTGAATATTTTATAGTCAAGAAGAGGTGCAGCTTCATCGTACTTGAAAACACTATTCCTGTCCACCGTAAAGCAAGCAAATGTATGTATTTTGCGTGAAAAACATCCGACATTAAACCAACCTCGGGCAAGTCGGCAGTCCACAAGACCTAGTTTCTGTTTGGAACGTTGCTCCTGTGCAATCAGCTCCGCCATCGCTTGAACGGGACTGTTACATTGCCTAACCCCGTAGCCAGTGTGTTGAAGGAACCGCATGTTCGGGTACAAGGCACCACACTCCACTGTGTCCACTGCGAGAGTCCTCCATCCACCTCCACTAAAGAAACAGAGAACCAGCTTGTGACGAAAAACGAATATCTACTATCCCCGTTGTTGAGCGGTTGGGTCGATGTTGAAAAGACCTACTCAAATACTTATAAGAGGTTCGACACAAAGTAAAATGAAAGAGAACCAAGAGAAACAATCAATATACCACATTACTGTGTTTTGACTGAACATGAACATTGGGTGAGCCAGACAACCAACTCGAAATGCAAAAAGATAAAAAAAATGTGATAAAGCAGAAATGTTATCTTACCGGGGCATGCTCCAAGGCCACAGCTTCGAAAGCTGTATTGAAAGGATTCTGTACAGAAGGCTCCTCCATTGCTCGGCGGTGGGTTGGTGCAAGTCCTAGTTCTGGTGATAGTCCTGACGGCTGACACCCACAGGTGACGGTACAGGCAGGGATCGACCATTGTCCCACTTTCGTGACACACCACCAGCCACTGAAACGGACAACAGAGGTATCACAAATACCATACTCCCACCGGTAATAGCCTGGAGGTCAGTGTGAAGAGGAGGGGCTGCCACTTTCCAACATTCAACTGTTCTCGTTATGTAAAGCAATATTCCAACAGCTACAGCCTTTAGCGTTTCCATTTTGTTTCTTATGGATATATACTCATGGAAACAAATAAGGAACATATGAAAGTACAGATGTTCCTTTATTCTTCCAGGTTACTTCACAAGGTATGTATTGCACTGTGGGTGAAACATCGAACCCTGTATAACTCGAAGTATAAACTTAGGTCACTTCGACTTCGACACATAGGTGTTTGACTTGATGGACATTAGCTTGAGAGAGGAAACGTTTTACTGACTCTGCACATGCTGGTGTGTCACATGACACCATGACAGTGATGACAGTAATCAGGATCAACAGAGACTAATCGGTGTCTTCTCCCATACAATAAATGAGGGACCACAGGATAATTAGTGGCGCCAGTGAATGGGCCATTTCTGGTTACATATGTTTACCATTAAAAGCGATAACTCTTCTATGTGCACTGGAGACCTCTACCAAGAGTCGATTGTTTGACTAGGACTACACATTGACAATGTGTTTAAGGAAAAACTGTGAAACAGTAATGATACCAGAATTTCCCAAATTTTTCATTTTGTATATTTTATCAATATTATTAACCGTTAGGGGACATATAGGAGAACGTTTGCCATTACATATATGTCATGAACAACAGAGGGACTGGGGATAGACGCTTTACACATGTTTAAGATGATCAGTATTCTGGTAACCGTAAATGTGACATTATGTTCAAGGTCGTTTTGAAATGACTTCAGTTACATCATCCGTGTCGGTTAAATGAAGGATAAGACGTAAAGTAGGCCATTTGCGTGTGGGGTTATTAACACGCAAGAACAGGGATAAGCGTTGTGTCATATCCTTTGACAATTATGTTCCACGTGTTGCCTACGAACCTGTCAGCTGACCGCTTGTGGTGGTCATTAGACACGTGATAGCAAGCGCCAACGTCCACCTAGTGACGTGGCTCCGCATCATTGCTGGTTATTCAAAACCTGAAAGAAGGAATTTTTAAAATATGACGTTGTATGTTTAGGGGATAACTGTACTGTGTTGACGAATTGGGGACGTATACTGGTGGTTATATAGTCGACCATTTAGTTATATCGGCGACGCGTAGGCACAGTGCAGTTATCCCCTATTTTAATTCAACTCGTTTTACGCTGTGTTTTCGTGAAAGAAATTCATTATTTAAACCAGGTCAAAGTTCGTCTAGGTCAAAGGTTAATCAAATACACTCCTTGAACTTACACCATCGCCAGAAAAAGTAGTTCCCTTCCCAAACTTCAACATGTTTATTATGTGCACACTGACTAAATGAGGAATAAATCAGTGTTACAGCTAAAATGGACGGAAGTATCATGAAATCGCTCTCAGTAATCGAAATGAGCGGGCCTCCATATTTCAACGACGGGACATTATCAGTTCTGTTGTCAAAACACGTCAGAACTGGTAACGTCTCGCTCCATAATGACATCATAAATCTTGGTTTCATTATCTAAGAGTGTTTACGGTCAACAGCCCGTTGCGAGTTGTTTGAAGTAAGCTTACAATTAAATTTGTGATACTGTTTTGTCTTTTAACACAAATTTCATCCATAGGGGATGGGATAGGGGAGTTAACTGACCTAGGGTTTAATGTTGACATTAGTTAATGAAGCAATGATACAACCGGATCCTGAAAACAGCCTTACCCCAATAGTGTAGGGATACAATCAAAGGTTTCGGTGAATCGGTTTTCACATTGCGATCGTATATGCTGATTATACGGTCGGAAATTTATAGCATTGACTAATCAGAACTCGTTACATACTAGGTTGAATTAGAATGTGCTCTGATCATCAGGAGGTATATCCAAGGGAAAATACGACATCGGCAAAATAATGAATAAAAACAGCATAAACCAGTTCCATAGTCATAATAATCAGATTGTATATTGTACGATTCCAGCTATAGGCATCTAAGGCATGTTTTTTCTAATCTCTAAGAATGCACATGCATCGTAAGTGTCTGTTTGTTTGGGCTCTTGATGGCTGGATCTTTGCCCCCGTTTCCACCAGTAATGGTGTGGATGTGAGTATCTGATCTTTTTGGGTTGAGTGGTTAGAACTTGTAAGAGTGAGTGAGTTTACTTTTGGCGCAAATTAGCAAGGCAATATTCCCTGAAATACCCTCGACGAGGCCACCAGTTATGGGCCTCACACATTGTACCATGTGGGAATCGAACCCGGATCTTTAGCTTTAACCACCAGGCTTCCTATCCTTGCCCGTGTTTTGATTCGACATAAGTTCTCAATGGTTGATGGTTATCGTGAATATTCGTTTTGCATAAATCTTTCAGGTTAAAAATGTATACATCTAACGCACTACATTTGTTGACCTACATATCGGGCTGGCTAATCTCGTTTTTCACGCTGAGCCCGAGTGTGGGAAATCTCTGCCAAGATTCCTGATGTAAACATCCTATTTTTACTGATAATCCACGAAATTATTACACTCGCAAGTGCGCCATACGACTTCTAGAAACGTGCAAAACTCGCTCTCGCTCGGGCAACACAAAATTTCACACACTCGTCGTATGGGTACACTTGCTTGCGTAATAATCTCTATTTATGGAATGGAGGGAGGTGGCTGGCTATTCAGTAAAGCACTTTTATCACCTGTTTGCGCGACTTCAGTGGTAGATACACCGGCTAAAGTACATTGTGTGCACAATTCAGTTTTCATGGACCATTAACTGCTTGAATTACACCGCTGCTACAATCTGTGAAATTCACAATTGGTTTGACTGTTTCGTACTGGAAAGAGTCTATTAATAGATCCAGGGCCGCTGTTTAAACTTGTTGTGTATATTACGTCAGGTAAGAGAAAGTTGACTATTAACTGTGTGTACCTGACATGGGTGCTCAGCAGAGGTAGAGACTGTGTTATCATCTCAAGGCACTGTCTGGATATAACATGGAGGGTATATGACGATGAATCAGATGACCACCGCACTCACAGTCAGCACCTCCTGCTGAAGGAGGAGGGTTGGTGAGGGTCCTGAACCTCTTGATCAGTTTGGTGGCAGAGGTGCCACATGACACACACTACAACCTGGGTTGGTCCAACTCTCCGCTGTGAAAAGATACAAGTTCTATGCTTCTCTTGAGGGTAATACGGTCTCATGTATGCCTCTTTGTAGCAGTGTCAACCGAGCCGGTATGCGAGGGATAACACTGCTGGGCTAGCGAGGTTTGCATCAGACCGTATTACCCGAGCGACAAGCTACAACGTATTTATCTTACCGCCATGTTGAATATACAAAATATCATTATATTTCATATTGAAGATCGATAAGCTCTCGCTACCGACTATATGACATGTAAACAAAATTGCGCTCTGCCTCTCTCGGTGAAACATATTCTGACAAGCTTAAAACTGCTGTAAAATGGTTAATTATGTTTAGGTTGAGTGCAAACGATGCAATGTGTAAAATAGTTTTAATATAATATTTCCCCACTACATTTTCTTTCAGTTTTAAAGTGAAGAGTCTCTGTTTGGTTTCATTTTGTAGAAGAGGCCAGTTTCGTCAGCAAGTGAAAAATGTTATCAGGCTTGTACTCTTCAAGATACCCAGGCAGGCAATTCATTTGCCTTAGTCTGCAACCATTTAAGGAATGTTCTCACTTCTAGCCCCTTGAAACCATTTGTAGAGAGCAACTTCTACATCTTGGTGAGGGATTGGCACTCTTAACTTTTTTGTGGGCGGGGCCAAAATCAGTCAGTAGACACAGATTTTTGCAAGAATAGATTCGCGATTATTAATAATGGAACTGAGAGAGTGGATTTTTAGAATGCCAAAGTCCAAAGCGATGTTTGTCTAGATTTTACACCTGAATCTACAGCCTGAATAATCTGGAAGCTTGGTGTCAAAGTAGTGATAGCTTTACGTTTGCCTGGCCATAGTGACGAGAGGAACTGAAGACCAGTATACCAGTCAAGCTTTTAAACACGATATGTTTGTTTGTTAACTAATTAATGACCATCAAACAATGTTGACAAGATTGATGTATACCGTACCGCTAAGTGGCTGAGCTGACACTGGTGAGTTTGCTAATCACGTCGTTAATTGGGTCTTGGGGTAGTAAATCAGTTCGCTATTGCCGTTAATTCGCTACTCCCGAGTTCGTTATTCGCGTATAAATTTTAATCATATTATAAAGGACTATTGATGGGACTTTTTAAATTTGATCTGACCGAGCGAAAGCGAGGTCAGATAACATAGGAAGGTCACGAGTTTCGTATAATTCGTATGTAATGAGACCGAGTGTGGTATTTTATTTATTACCCACGTCTTACATGCATTTAAATTGACAAAATAGCGTATTTTGTTATGTTTTTGGTTTCAAACCGAAACCGGTTTCATAAAGAGGTTGCGGAAGAGTTTTGTACTGTAGTACAATATTTGCATGACGTCACACTAATGACGTCACTGCCATGGTAACCGACGTCACGATGCATGTCAGTTGTCATCGCCTCGTACAGCCTCCTACAGTAAACTACTCCGTTGCACCTCGTTTCTTGGTTTCCAGTTGCTTCATTCGGCTAACATCACTGGTGGAAACATTGCGTTTATGTTTTTCGACGGATATAATGTCTCAGTTCGACTCACAATTAAACAGCGACACGGCAACGTTCGCAATGTTTACATTCCCACAATGCATTTAAGTTGTAGAATGAATGAATTCACGTGTTTGTTATGAATGAAAAAATAGTTACGTCAGAATGTGACCTAATTGAGAGGTCATCGGTTATCCAATCAAATCGTTAGAATTTCAGGTCAAGTCGTTACGACACAGGTCAACGCGATACGACACT